CCAGGACTTGACAAACAGTTTAAAGTACGTCAAAACCAGGACTTGGACAGGTCTAAACTCGGTCTAACCCAGGACTACACCACGTTTCTGAATAAATAAACGACTACTTCTCGAAACAAGTCAAAACCATAAAAGTGCACTGCGTAACTTGCCAACTGAGCTTCTCGTTTCCACGGCGATCTTATTGCTTTACCTGGAATGTTCCACAGTAAACCTATCAAGCATTTCTTTCTTTCTTCTTCAACTGCACATATTTCTACTGCTCAGAAATACCTTGAAAAACACTTAAGCTTTCGTAACGCGAGCGGACTTATCTCTCTCTCTCTCCCCGCGGATCTTGGCCAAGTCTCCGCGGCGACAGATTCTTTAAATGCCATACCGCGGAACATTCCCGGGCAAAGCGATAACGTCCGCGCGGTGACAGGCAAGAACCGGATCGAAACGAAACTGTTATTTTAAAACGCTTTCAATCAAGGATCATGTTACGTCCAGTTATGAAGACCTCAAAAACGGAGGCCAAGCGAATTCCAGGACGACCGACTTTCACGGCTTTTATCGTAGCGACGGTCAGACCTCACCCAAACATGTACTTAGAGTCTGATTTATGCTGCAGGATCTCCTCGGTGTTATGGGACTGCGTGTTATGTCCGTCTGGGGGCTTCGCGGGGCCAAAACGCATGTGTCATTATGAAAGATGGAGCCAAAGTCTAACCTCGGCAGAAACACAGAGGCAAGTGACGAGGAAGTGATGTCTGCAGCTTGGATCGGAGGCAGAGGGAAAGATGTGACACTCGAAGGCAGACCTGGGTATTGTACGGCTCCCGGACCACATACGGCTCTTTGGATGACGCTGACGGGCCTGTTTAACATCATTTGGAATAACAAAATAAACATACTTCATAATTTTACCTCATGTAAGGACTCAGCTCAATTTCATTTCTCTCCAGCGACTAGTTTAGGAATCAGAAAACACGAGAACAGGGGTGTCAAACTCATTTTGGTCCGGGGGCCGTATCCAACCTACTTTGATCCCAAATGGACCGGATCAGAAAATTCATGGCATATACACCCCAAAAACAGCAATAAGTTCAAATATTTGTGCTGAGAAACGCAAATTTATTACAGAAATCTTTTTTTAATTGATGAACTCTTTCTTTTAATATTGCATATTATGAACAACCTGAAACAAACTTTAAGAAAAATGCTATTTCAACAAAATGTTTTAATATGAACTTATATGCAAATAGGAATAAGTCACTTTTTCTTGGAAAATCTTGCACGATTTATTTTTTTCAATTTTTGATTTTGGTGTTTAAACGAATAATGGAAAAAATGGATAATGGCCACTTTCCGTTTCGTCCTATTCTGACTGTGGATCTATAATAAAAACTAGAGATGCCAGGACTGAACCTATGACTGAACCAGGATTAAACAGGACTAAAACTAGACTAAACCAGGACTGAACCAGGACTAAACCAGGACTGATCCCAGGACTGAACCAGGACTGAACCAGGACTGAACCAGGACTGATCCAGGACTGAACCAGGATTAAACAGGACTAAAACTAGACTAAACCAGGACTGAACCAGAACTAAAATAGGACTGAACCAGGACTGAACCAGGACTAAACCAGGACTGAAACCAGGACTGAACCAGGACTAAACCAGGACTGAACCAGGACTGGACTAGGACTGAAAGGATTTAAACAGGACTAAACCAGGACTAAACTAAACCAGGACTGAACCAGGATTAAACCAGGACTAAAACAGGACGAAACCAGTACTGGGAACCAGGACTAAACCAGGACTGATCCCAGGACTGAACCAGGACTAAACCAGGACTGAACTAGGATTAAACAGGACTAAAACAGGACGAAACCAGTACTGAACCAGGACTAAACTAGGACAAAACCACGACTGAACCAGGACTAAACCAGTACTAAACCAGACTGAACCATGACTGAGTGTCGGGATATATATATATATATATATATATATATATATATATATATATATATATATATATATATATATATAGACCATATATATATATGGTCTATATCAGGACTAAACCAAGTCTAAACCAGGACTAATCTCATTATCCAGTTTTTCATTTTGGTTTTGGAGACAAATAATGAAGAAAATACTTTTTTTTTTTCGTTTTCTTACTTTTGTTTTTACTTTGAAAAACAAATTAACAAATGACACATAGATTATTTTAAATCATAATCTCCCTGATGTAAAAATCCAGTTCGTAGAGTCCAGACTTAAACCCGTCCCGTCGCCGTAGCCTCGTTCACCTGGTGGTTTTTCACTGGCCTATGAAGAGGCTTTACTGTGAGTGTGAGTTTCACTGGCCCCCTGTGTAACCAACGCGCTGTTTGGTCAACTTTATATCCTTGTTTTTGGCACCGGCCTCGTGTGCGAATACAGGTGAGACTCTGCGCCCGGAGACCACAAATGTGAAATAAATACAGATTGATTGCACGTCGAGGTGTGTGCGGTGAGCGGAGGGAGGGAGAGGGACTAAATATACCAGCGGTGGTCCGGGCTCTGGTCAAACCTGGAGCCACTTTGAGCTTTCATGTTTTCTCTGCTCCTCCGAAGACTTCCTCATCACCTGTGCCTTTATTTTAACACGTTCAGTATGTACATTCAGGTCTGTGCACACTCATTACGAGACCAAAATGATTCAAATGTCTGTTTCTGTACATTCAAGTGAACTTTGAGTGGTGTAGTTGTTGTCGTTTCGGGCCAAAATCCTGGACTTAAAAAGATCTCCAGGTCAATGCAAACCCCATTCACACAAACAGCATGACCTGGAAATTTACCGTATTTTTTGGACTATAAGTCGCACTTTTTTTCACGGTTTGGGTGTTTCCAGTGCGACTTATATATTAAAAATGTTCACACTGAAGCGTCGAGAGGTTCTAGTCTTGTGTGTGTCAGTATCTGCTGCTCCTGTTCCTCCTGTACCACTGTCACTTCACTCTACTGCACATGTCTCCTGCAGAAAGAGCCTCTGTTCTGTCTGTATCATGTCAGTCGATAGCAACATTACTTCTGTATCATTGAAAATTTAACATTAAAACAAACTTATTAAGACAACTGAGAAGACTGAACATGGATGTCCCCAAAAATAAAATCAGATTTTGTAGATTACAAGCTGCAAGTAGTGAAATATTCAGCCGAAAACGGTAATCGAGCAGCAAAAAGAAAGTTTGGAGTGAGTGAAAAACCTGTGACACCAGGAGGATGAACCATGAAACTTTCCTGAAGTCACTGGATGAATCGACAAAGTTTGGACTTCAGTGACACTGAAACCATCCTGTCGGGATTCAGAAAGACCCGAATAATTATAACTGGAACTGATGCTGAGTCTGACAACAGCGACACAGAAGAGGAAGCAGCGTCTGTTTACCTCCGGAGGTCGTGGAGTTGTTCAGAAGTGACACCGAGGATGAAGAATTGAATGGATTTAGTGATTTGGAGTGAGATGGAGAGTTTGTTAAACTTGTTCTGTTCTGTTGTTTATGTTATAGTTTATCTGAAGAACTGTTCATATGTGACATTAACAGTCTGTTGTTCTCTCTTCTATTGTTTTTACTAGAACTTGACTTGTAACTTGAAATGTCAGTTCCTGTTCTCTGATTTTATAAAAATAAATTTCCCCCAAAAAGTATGACTTATAGTCCGGTGAGACTTATATATGTTTTTCCTTCTTTATTACACATGTTTTGGCTGGTGCGACTTATAGACCAAAAAATACAGTACCAGGACTAACGTTGCACTACACCAGGACTAAACTAGTACTGAACCAGGACTGAACCAAGACTAAACCAGAACTAAACCAGGATTAACCAGAACTAAACCAGGATTGAACCAGGACTAAACTAGTACTGAACCAGGACTGAAATAAGACTAAACCAGAACTAAACCAGGATTAACCAGAACTAAACCAGGATTGAACCAGGACTAAACTAGTACAGAACCAGGACTGTAGCAAGACTGAACCAGGACTAAACTAGGACTAAACCAAGACTAAACCAGAACTAAACCAGTCCTGAACTAGGACTAAACTTGTACTACACCAGGACTAAACTAGTACTGAACCAGAACTGAACCAGGACTAAACCAGAACTAAACCTGGACTGAACTAGGACTAAACCAGGACTAAACCAGAAGTAAACTAGTACTACACCAGGACTGAACCAGGACTAAACTAGTACTGAACCAGGACTAAACTAGTACTGAACCAGGACTGAAGCAGGACTAAAACAAGACTGAGCCACAACTAAACCAGGAGTGAACTAGGACTAAACTAATACAGAACCAGGACTAAACCAGTAGTAAACCATGACTAAACCAGAGGTAAACTAGTACTGAACCAGGACTAAACTCGTACTACGCCAGGACTAAATTAGTACTGAACCAAAACTGAATTAGGACTGAACCAGGACTAAACCAGAACCATAATATCGCACCTTTAACTTTTTAACAAGGACGTTCATTTCAGTCCTTCAGGTGAAATGTCTGAAAAGTGGATTTTGCCTGAGATGTTCTTGTTACCCCGGTGCTTTCATCTTGCCCTCCTCTGCTCCCTCCTCTGCTCCCTCCTCTGCTCCCTCCTCTGCTCCCTCCTCTGCTTCCCTCCTCTGCTCCCTCCTCTGCTCCCTCCTCTTCTCCCTCCTCTGCTCCCTCCTCTGCTCCCTCCTCTGCTCCCTCCTCCGCTCCCTCCTCCGCTCCCTCCTCCGCTCCCTCCTCTGCTCCCTCCTCTATCCCTCCTCTGCTCCCTCCTCTGCTCCCTCCTCCTCCTCCTCCTCCCTCCTCGCTCCCTCCTCTGCTCCCTCCTCTGCTCCCTCCTCTGCTCCCTCCTCTGCTCCCTCCTCTGCTCCCTCCTCTGCTCCCTCCTCCGCTCCCTCCTGCTCCCTCCCTCCTCCTCCTCCTCCTCTGCTCCCTCCTCTGCTCCCTCCTGCGGCCCAGACCGGTTCGTGTTCGTACCTGCTGCTTGAGCTGCTGCACCAGACTGTCCTTCTCCCTCTTCAGAGCCGACACCTCCTCCTGGGTTTTCTTCTTCTTGGACGAGGAGAGCTCCAGCAGCGCGATGTTGGCGTCCTTCTCACTGATGGCGGCCAGCAGCGCCTCCTGCCTGTAAACGGAAGAATAACAACAACAAAACAACATGAAATCTACATCAGGAATATAAAATCTCATTGGGGAAAAACTAAACAAAACATTTAAAGTCCAATGTACATGAAAAACTCCAGAGACAGATTAAAGCTTTTTGTATTTTTGTTGTGTTTTTCTTCTTCTCTCCTCGTGGCTGACTCACATTCTCTGAAATTTGATTTAATTTTGTTGGAAAATCACCATGACGATGTCCAATTTTGTGTTTAACATAGATTAGATATAACAGGCTGCAGATAAAATATTACTGAACTGAACCAGGACTGAACCAGGACTAAACCAAGACTAAACCAGGACTGAACCAGGACTAAAGCAGGACTAAACCAGGACTAAACCAAGGACTGGAAACCTGAACCAGGACTAACTAAACTGAACCGGACTGAACGACTAAACCAGCTAGACCGGGACTGAACAAGACTGAAACCAGACTAAACAGAACTAGAACTGACTAACCAGGACTAAACTGAACCAGACTGAACCAGGACTAACCAGGACTGAACAAGGACTAAACTAGACTGAACCAGGACTGAACCAGGACTAAACCAGGAATAAACCAGGACTAAAGCAGGACTGAACCAGGACTAAACCAGGACTGAACAAGGACTAAACCAGGACTGAACCAGGACTAAACCAGGACAAAACCAGCACTGAACCAGAACTAAACTCGTACTACATAAGGACTAAACTAGTACTGAACCGGGACTGGACCAAGACTTAATCAAGACTGAACCAGGACTGAACCAGGACTAAACCAGGTTTGAACCAGGACTGAACTACAACCTAACTTGGACTAAACCAGGACCAAAACCAGGACTGAACCAAGACTAGACCAGGACTGAACCAAGACTGAACCAGAACTAAAATAGTCCTGAACCAGGACAAATTAGTACTGAACCTGGACTAAACCAGGATTGAACAAGGACTGAACCTGGACTGAACTAGGACCTAACCAGGACTGAACCAGGACTAAACCAGAACTGAACGAGGACTAAATTCGTACTACACCAGGACTGAACCCGGACTGACCTAGTACTGAACCAGAACTAAACTAGTACAATCAGGACTAAACTAGTACTGAACTAGGACTAAAGCAGGACAAAACCAGGACTGAACCAGGACTAAACCAGGTTTGAACCAGGACTGAACTAGGATTAAATTAGCACTGAACCAGGAATAAACCAGGACTGAACTAGGACTGAACCAGGACTCAGTCAGGACTGAACCAGGACTGAACCAGGACTAAAATAGTCCTGAACCCGGACTAAACCAGGACTGAACAAGGACTGAACCTGGACTGGACTAGGACTAAACCAGGACAAAACCAGGACTAAACCAGACGTAAACTAGTACTAAACCATGACTAAACTCGTACTACACCAGGACTAAATTAGTACTGAACCAGGACTGAACCAGAACCACAATATAGGACCTTTAACTTTTTAACAAGGATGTTCATTTCAGCCCCTCAGTTTTCTCTCTCCTTAATCCTCCTCCCTCCTTCTCTCTTTCCCTCCTCCTCCTCCTCTTCTCTCCCTCTCTCTTTTTGCTTGTGGCTGTCTCACATTCTCTGAAATGTGTCCACACCACTGGAAGTCTAAAAGCGGCTCAGACCTCATGTTTACAGATTACACACGGCTCCACAGGACGCAGGATTTTTAATGAGCAAACACAACTTTTCATCAGCTCATCTCGAATTCTAATCTCGAGGGGGAAAGAGAGAGAGAGAGAGAGGTCTGCGCGAGCAATTACGGGCCTTAAAGCCGCACTATGTAACTTTTTGACTGGGGGTCTATGGAGATGTTACCGCTCTGTCTGGAAAGTTCCGCAGTGTGACATTAAGCAGCTCTACTTTACGTTTATTTAATTACAAGTGGTTTTATTGCGCAAACATACCTAGAAAAACAGACACTCTGACCCTAACCCTCTAACCCTAACCCTCTAACCCTAACCCTCTAACCCTAACCCTCTAACCCTAACCCTCTAACCCTAACCCTAACCCTAACCCTAACCCTAACCCTAACCCTAACCCTAACCCTAACCCTAACCCTAACTAACCCTAACCCTAACCCTAACCCTAACCCTAACCCTAACTAACCCTAACCCTAACCCTAACCCTAACCCTAACCCTAACCCTAACCCTAACCCTAACCCTAACCCTAACCCTAACCCTAACCCTAACCCTAACCCTAACCCTAACCCTAACCCTAACCCTAACCCTAACCCTAACCCTAACCCTAACCCTCTAACCCTAACCCTAACCCTAACCCTAACCCTAACCCTAACCCTCTAACCCTAACCCTAACCCTAACCCTAACCCTAACCCTAACCCTAACCCTAACCCTAACCCTAACCCTAACCCTAACCCTCTAACCCTAACCCTAACCCTAACCCTAACCCTAACCCTCTAACCCTAACCCTAACCCTCTAACCCTAACCCTAACTAACCCTAACCCTAACCCTAACCCTAACCCTAACCCTAACCCTAACCCTAACCCTAACCCTAACCCTAACCCTAACCCTAACCCTAACCCTAACCCTAACCCTAACCCTAACCCTAACCCTAACCCTAACCCTAACCCTAACCCTAACCCTAACCCTAACCCTAACCCTAACCCTAACCCTAACCCTAACCCTAACCCTAACCCTAACCCTAACCCTAACCCTAACCCTAACCCTAACCCTAACCCTAACCCTAACCCTAACCCTAACCCTAACCCTAACCCTAACCCTAACCCTAACCCTAAACCCTAACCCTAACCCTCTAACCCTAACCCTAACCCTAACCCTAACCCTAACCCTAACCCTCTACCCTAACCCTAACCCTAAACCCCCTCTAACCCTAAACCCTAACCCTAACCCTAACCCTCTAACCCTAACCCTAACCCTAACCCTAACCCTAACCCTAACCCTCTAACCCTCTAACCCTAACCCTAACCCTAACCCTAACCCTAACCCTAACCCTAACCCTAACCCTAACCCTAACCCTAACCCTAACCCTAACCCTAAACCCTAACCCTAACCCTAACCCTAAACCCTAACCCTAACCCTAACCCTAACCCTAACCCTAACCCTCTAACCCTAACCCTCTAACCCTAACCCTAACCCTCTAACCCTAACCCTCTAACCCTAACCCTAACCCTAACCCTAACCCTAACCCTAACCCTAACCCTCTAACCCTCTAACCCTAACCCTAACCCTCTAACCCTAACCCTAACCCTCTAACCCTAACCCTAACCCTAACCCTAACCCTAACCCTCTAACCCTCTAACCCTAACCCTAACCCTAACCCTAACCCTAACCCTAACCCTAACCCTAACCCTAACCCTCTAACCCTAACCCTAACCCTAACCCTAACCCTAACCCTAACCCTAACCCTAACCCTCTAACCCTAACCCTAACCCTAACCCTAACCCTAACCCTAACCCTAACCCTAACCCTAACCCTAACCCTAACCCTCTAACCCTCTAACCCTAACCCTAACCCTAACCCTAACCCTAACCCTAACCCTAACCCTAACCCTAACCCTAACCCTCTAACCCTCTAACCCTAACCCTAACCCTAACCCTCTAACCCTCTAACCCTAACCCTAACCCTCTAACCCTAACCCTAACCCTCTAACCCTAACCCTAACCCTAACCCTAACCCTAACCCTAACCCTAACCCTAACCCTAACCCTAACCCTAACCCTAACCCTAACCCTAACCCTAACCCTAACCCTAACCCTAACCCTAACCCTCTAACCCTAACCCTAACCCTAACCCTAACCCTAACCCTAACCCTCTAACCCTAACTAACCCTAACCCTCTAACCCTAACCCTAACCCTAACCCTAACCCTAACCCTAACCCTAACCCTAACCCTAACCCTAACCCTAACCCTAACCCTAACCCTAACCCTAACCCTAACCCTCTAACCCTAACCCTAACCCTAACCCTAACCCTAACCCTAACCCTAACCCTAACCCTAACCCTAACCCTAACCCTCCCTAACCCTAACCCTAACCCTAACCCTAACCCTAACCCTAACCCTAACCCCTAACCCTAACCTAACCCTAACCCTACCCTAACCCTAACCCTAACCCTCCCTAACCCTAACCCTAACCCTAACCCTAACCCTAACCCTAACCCTCTAACCCTAACCCTCTAACCCTAACCCTAACCCTCTAACCCTGATCCGGTTTAGTCTCAATGAAGATAGAAAGGTTTTTGATTTACTGATTGGATTTGTTTTTATTTCGAGTTCATGCCAAGACAAGAACAATAATCATAAACACCCACAGACACACTCATCACTCCACGCCGCCGAGGAACGGAACGGAGGAACGAACCGAAAAAGCGAGTGCGATGTGCCGCTTCTAGACACGACTGAACAACTGAGTCACTGCGAACACGCCGACAATCCGTTGGTCCCAGACAGCACCTCCCTACACGCCACAACTGAACAAAGCCCAGAGTCACCGTGAACGAACAAACAAACAAACACTCATCCTTTAAAGTCCAGTGCAGTTTATTTGTGAAAAAAAGTTTGAAAATAGACCATTTAATTTAGTGTGTTTTATAATGACCAGAGCGACTAATAGTGCGGAAAATACGGTAACTGAATGTCGAGTTTTAGTACTGAACCAGGACTAAACTAGTGCTGAACTAGAACTAAACTAGGACTGAACTAGGACTAAACCAGGACTAAACCAAGACTGAACTAGGACTAAACTAGTACTGAACCAGGACTGAAACCAGGACTGAAACTAAACAGAACTGAACTAGGACTAAAGGACTAAACCAGACTGAACTAGGACTGAACCAGGACTAAAAACTAGGACTGAACCAGAACTAAACCAGGACTAAACCAGACTGAACTAGGACTAAACTAGTACTAAACCAGGACTGAACCAGGACTAAACCAGGACTGAACTAGGACTAAACCAAGACTAAACTAGTACTGAACCAAGACTGAACCAGGACTG